GTGCTGGGCTCTGTCTCAGCACCTCAGACACATGAGAGGAGCCGGGAGCTCATCCTGGCCTGGGGGAGGGGGCGATCCCTGGGTCAGGGTGGGGTTYAGGATCCCTCCCCGGGCCTTCAGGGCGGGCAGAATGTCCCCAGGGCAGGCAGAGGTTTCTAATGGAGCTCGTTAAGGAGCCCCTTTCAGCTGYAAAGACTCCCCTGGGAATACAAAACCTCTGGAAAGCCCAGGAGTGGGGCGATGGGAGCAGAGGGGATAGCGAGGGGACAGCTYCCGTGTCCCCATCCCGGCCCATGGCAGTCCATCCCTGCGGCCCAAACAACAGCCCCAGCAGCAGGAACGGCCCTGGATGAGCTGGGGAAGAGATTCCACACCAGGAGAATCTAATATTAATCTAATAATCTAATAATAAAAATGATAACAATTATAATAATAATCTAATAATTAAAAAAAGCCCGTTCTCAGGGCTGCTGTGCTGAGGGAGCCAAGTCAAAGCCTGGGACAGCATCAATGAATGAACAGCAGGGAACTGCTGAGCTGGTGCAGCCCTGGAGGAACTCAGCCATGAAATTGCTAAATTATCATCCCTGCTTGCTGCTGATGGCTCCGAGCTGCTGAGGAGTAAAAAAAACACCCCACAAAACCCCAAAGGGATGGGGATTTCCTGGCAGAGCTTCAGGAGATGGAGGGAATTACGGAGCAGGAGGGTGACAAGGGGAGATAAGAGTGACAGATGGGAACAGCTACAGGGCAGGACTGGCTTGGCTGTGCCAAGGACAGCAGCCCCCAGATCCTCGGGGAGAATCCCCAAATCCACAGCCAGGGGTGATGGGGGTCCTGTCTGGGTTTGGGAAAGCCACGGGGAAAATCCCTTCCCAAGGGGCACTGATGGAAGATTAACTGCCCAACATGAGACAGAGAGGCTGCAGACAACCCCAGAGCTGCTTCAGAGCTGGGAACTGGGACTGGGGTCAGTGCTGGGGGTGCACAGGGAACTGGGACTGGGGTAACTGCTGGGGGTGCACAGGGAACTGGGACTGGGGTCACTGCTGGGGGTGCACAGGGAACTGGGATTGGGGTCAGTGCAGGGTCTGTGCACAGGGAACTGGGCTGGGAACTGGGATTGGGGTCAGTGCTGGAGGTTCAGGGAACTGGGATTGGGGTCAGTGCTGGGGGTTCAGGGAACTGGGATTGGGGTCACTGCTGGGGGTGCACAGGGAACTGGGATTGGGGTCACTGCTGGGGGTGCACAGGGAACTGGGCTGGGAACTGGGATTGGGGTCAGTGCTGGAGGTTCAGGGAACTGGGATTGGGGTCAGTGCTGGGGGTTCAGGGAACTGGGATTGGGATCACTGCTGGGTGTGCCCACAGGGATCTGGGCTGGGTGGCACAGCCGGGTGGGACACATGGGTGCTGAGGGAGGTGACAGTCTCTGCAGGGCTGCTCCAGCCTCCCTGGTCCAAGGAGAAATAGCAAATGACCGAGAAAAGGGTACAGGGAGGTTTAGGGACAGGGGACAAGGAGTTGGGGCTCATCAGTGGGGTGAGGAGGAGGGGATTGAGGGCTCTGGGTAAACTGAGGCAGGCTCAGCAGAAAGCAGAGGTGCTGCTTCTCCCCATGACACCTCCCAGAGCACAGCCTGGGGCACAGCAGGACGCAGAGGCTGCTGGAGGTTTCTGCAGGAGCAGAAGATGATGTCAGAACTCAATGAAACCAAAAACMCATCAGAGGGCTCCTGATGGCTTCTAGGACAGGGTCCGAGGCTGGGCAGGGTGGAAATAGGCGGTGTGAGGGAGGAATTCCCACCTCAGCTGAGCGACAGCGCCGGGGCTGGGCTCGGTTTGGGGCAGCTTGGAGGGTTTTTCACTGGGCTGCAGCGTTGGCTGGGACAAGCGCTGGTGTCCCTTGGGTTTTTTTATTCTGTGCCCAGGCAGGCCCCAAAGCCCCAAAAAGCCCTGTTTGAGGCAGGGTTGAGCCCCAGCCCCTGGCACAGCGGGGYCAGCCCTGCCCTCAGGGCATCCCTGTGGGGTGGCACTCACCCTCTCCAGCTCCTTGACCAGGATCCTGACCAGCACCCCGCTGTTACTGGGGTCCTGGTCCATTTTCTTGTGCAGGGTCCATCGCAGCATCCCTGCCAAGGGACAGGAAGGTCAGCTCGCCAAGGGAGGGATGGGGGCAAGGTTTCACAGGGAAATCAGGGACCTGAGCATGGGAACTGCAGAAATCCTGC